TTGGCCTGTCTTGGAAAATGTGTGCAAGCAAGTATGCTAAGCTGCTTGTTTGAAACATTTCCAAACAAAAAACAAAACACAATTTAGAAAATTAAATAAGTAGTTGAAATGAGGTTTTGGAGTGCATTGAATGGTCAGTCTTACACAATAGGTACTTGCTTTAAGTACTCTGCACCCACTCTCATAGAGACAAGAGCTTTTTTTTTATGTATTTATTTTAGAAAACCTGGCATTATGAGTGTGCATTAAGCATGGATCACATACAGTCTGAGGCTCACCTTACTATCAGATTATTGACTATTTCCAATCATTCTGTGTGGTGAATAGAACTTTGGAGATCAAGTGCTTGCTTTACAGAAGATTATGGGAAGGAGGAGCTAAGGCGGAACCTGACCCAGTGCCAAGGGACATCGGCACTGGTCTCAGATAAGTGACAAAAGAGTTCTGCCCTGCAGGAAGGGAGGTTGCGTGAGTGGGGGATGTGGAGGCACTATAGAGAGCTAAGGTTCTAGGAATACAATTTTGTATTCTCAGCCTATAGTTTCTTTTAAATCCCTGCTCAAACTTTGGAGTCCAGGTATTAAGTGATAACTGAGGCTCCCCACTGTCATCTGGGGTCATATTTACTTGCTAGGAAATCCATCTGCTGATAACAGTTCTGATATTAAAAGAAAGGAATTCCTTCTAGTTAAAGGACCACTATAGTGCCAGGAAAACATACTCGTTTTCCTGGCACTATAGTGCCCTGAGGGTGCCCCCACCCTCGAGGTCCCCCTCCCGCCGGGCTGGATGGAGAGGAAGGAAGGGGTTAAACTTACCTCTTTCTCCAGCGCCAGGCGGGGAGCTCTCCTCCTCCTCTCCTCCTCTTCGGCTGAATGCGCATGCGCAGCAGGAGCTGCACGCGCATTCAGCCAGTCCATAGGAAAGCATTCTCAATGCTTTCCTATGGACGCTGACGTCTTCTCACTGTGATTTTCACAGTGAGAAGCATGCAAGCGCGTCTAGCGGCTGTCAAGAGACAGCCACTAGAGGCTGGATTAACACTAATATAAACATAGCAGTTTCTCTGAAACTGCTATGTTTATTAAAAAAAAAAGGGTTAACTCTAGCTGGACCAGGCACCCAGACCACTTCATTAAGCTGAAGTGGTCTGGGTGCCTATAGTGGTCCTTTAAGGGTAGGATTAGATGTCGGGTAAGGTTAAGCAGAGCCGGATTAACATAGGGGCTGATGGATCTGCAGCTCCAGGCCCAGGTCCATGGAATAGGCCCATTTAAAAAAAAATATAAAAAAAGTTTTTAAACTTTTTTTTTTACATACTACTCTTAGGTTTGCCACCTGACTGGTATTTTAAGTCACAGCCGTTATTTGAGGCTGCCTGGCCGTGATGGTATTGCAGTAATACCAGCAGTGCAAATATTTTTTTCAGTATCCACGGAGATTACTCTGCAATACCAGCACCAGCCAGTTGGGGTCACTGTGTGTGTGGAGAGAGACAGAGTAGGAAGTTACAGCATATCCCTCCCTGCCTCTCTCTACTCACTGATCTGCAGGGGAGCAGCTACACAGCACAGAGAGTTGCTTCTGGGAAGTGAGAGATGAGGGGAAAGGCAGCAAGGAGACACTGTCACAGTTCTTACCGCAGCACACAGACAGCCAGACGTGGTCGCCGAACCAGGGAACTTCACAGTCCTGGTCCTGCTTCCTACCTCATGAGCCACAGCAGCTTTTATATTCTGCAAGTCATTCTGATCCTGTTCATCCTGGCTTGTCTATTACTCTGGGGGCTGTACCTTGACTTTGGCTGTGCTTCACCTGACCCTGATCAGACCTCAGCAGGGTATTTAAACTCAACCTTGCCCTGTGATCAAGATCAAGTCTTTGATCCTGTTGTGTGTTTCGTACCAGTGTTTCGTACCAGTGTTTCTGTCGTTTTGATTTGCTACTTATTATTGACCCCGGCTTCTGACTACGTTTACTCTGACCTCTGGCATCCCTTGACTTCGGCCACTCCTCGTTGTTCCTGTCCTCTGGCATCCTTTGACCTCGCCTATCCCTTGACGATCCTGCTGTTTGAGTCCTTGCCTGTCCTGCGATTTGGTACTTCATCCTGCACTGCCCCCGTGCACAGACCCACAGGCCGGGTGAAATCTTACCTGACCACCTTGGCCTGTGGCTATCTGCAAGGGTGAGCAACATATCTGCGCTACAGACTCCCAACCCAGGTAAGACCCTCACAGAGACATGGGGACACTGACACTGGGAAACATGTGGGCACTGAGACACTATTGGACACTGTGAGACATGGAGACACTGAGACACATGGGGATGCTGTGAGACATAGGTAGACACATTGGGACATGGAGACACTAGGGACACAGTGTCTCCATGTCTCCCAGCCAGTGTCCCCTAGTGTCTCAGTGTCCCCTAGTCTCCTAGTGTCCCCATGTCTCCCAGGCAGTGTTCCCATGCCTTCTAGTGTCCCTATGTCTCTCAGTGTCCCCATGTCTCCCAGTGTCCCCATTTCTATGTCCACAAGTATCCCCATGTCTCCCAGTGTCCCCTAGTCTCCCAGTGTCTGTTACCATGTCTCTCATTATCCCTAGTGTCTTAGTTTCCCCACATGTCTGTGTCCCCATGTCTCAGTGTCCCCATGTCTCCCAGTGCCTCCATGTCTGTATCCACAAGTGCCCCCATGTCTCTCAGTGTCCCCATGTCTCTCAGTGTCCCCATTTCTATGTCCACATGTGCCCCCATGTCTCCCAGTGTCCCCTAGTCTCCCAGTGTCTGTTACCATGTCTCTCAGTATCCCTAGTGTCTTAGTTTCCCCACATGTCTGTGTCCCCGTGTCTCAGTGTCCCCATGTCTCCCAGTGTCCCCATGTCTGTATCCACAAGTGCCCCCATGTCTCTCAGTGCCCCCATGTCTCTCAGTGTCCTCATGTCTCTCAGTGTCACCTAGTATCCTAGTAACACGGGACACAGTGAGACATGGGGACACTGGGAGAAATGGGGACACAGACACTGGGAGACTAGGGGACTGGCCTTCCAATTCTTTGGACACACATCCCCTTTTTGGGCATGTTCACCCATTTTGGCACTTCTGGTTACGTGATTCGCATCAGTGGCCCACTCTTTTACCCCGCCCATTGACTTCCTGCTTCACTGGACACTGCTGTTAGGGGGTATGGATTTACTTGAAAGATGAAAGCATAAATTAGATAAAGAAATTAGCATAGAGTATGTGTTTTTTTTTTATAGCTTCATCCTTTGAGTTTCCCTCCAACACCAACTCCATCAGATACATGATGCTTGAGAGGTATGACTGTTTTAGTGTTTTTTGGTCGATAAGATTCTGTAATTAGGCCGCATCATAATTGTCAGCACCAGGCCCACTGGGCTCTTAATCTGGCCCTGAGGTTAAGGACCCATGGCTTATACACACATCATTAATGTTTGAGTGGCTCCAACCATTCACAGTCTTTAATGTATACCTCACATTTCTTTTTATATGCTCAAGCATGTTGGAGATGTTATGTTGAATTTAACTTGTCAGTCTAATGTCTTGTATTGTACCTTATATATCTTTGTTATATTTCCTCTATTTACTAAACAGAGATTGTAAAAAAAAAAAAATAATGGCTTTGTGAATAAATCAAATAGTTTTGTATATCACAAAATATCTGGGGAACCAGCTACACCTCTATCAAAATGAAACACAACATAGTGTAATACTGATATAAAGGAGTAGCAGTGGGACACAACAAGGATCACAGGAACTCCAGCAGGGTGGATAGTAGAAAAATCAGCTTTATTTAAAAAAAAAGAAAGAAAGATAAAATAGATAAAAACAGGTCCTACGTGTTTCTTTCCTTGCAAGGGATGTCCACATGGATCAAATCAATTTTTCTAAACAAGAAGCTAAAAGCAGCAGCCATCTTTATCTTTTTTATCATTTGTAGTTTATTCAAAGAAAAGAAAAAAAATTTCCCAAAAGAAATCAATTCCAGTACATAGTTACAGTTCACAGAAGTACAGAGAAAGACAAGCTGGATAAGCACTATCCGTGTTTACATGAAACATAAAATGGAAATTGCAGTTTAACAGCGTTATATCTTAATATCTGAAATGTAAAGTTCAAAACAGCATAAGTATACCTTGATGTCTAGGGGGAAATTGAAGGGGAATGAAGAAAAGGCAAAACAGGAAAACAAATGGATAAAGTAAATGAAAGGGAACAATAAACAAGCTCACATTGTGGTATATCCACGGTAGAAGGGTATTAGGTGTTCAGGGGTTCATAGTAAGGCGGAAGACACCTTTAGGTGAATCTACTGTGGGTAACCCGTCCGGACATGCAGTTGTGCATGTGTGCTTTATGGGTGTGTAGATGGGCTTCATATGTAAAGAAAGATGGAGTAGGTTTTCAGGTAACCTTGCCTCCCATAGCGACCCCACCTTTGGTCCAGTCCTCCCTCCATAGCTCCCATATTTTCTCAAAGGCCAATGCTTTTGTCGGCGAGTAAAGAGACATACGCTCATATACATAAAATTGTTTTATTTTGTCTTTGAGTTGTGTGAGTGAAGGGCAAATAGTTGTCTTCCAATTATTGGCAATGAGGTTTCTGGATGCAAGCATCATCATTACCGCCAGTTAGCACTGCCCTTGGCTTAGGCCTCTAGGAAACAATAAGAGAAAACATGTGGTCACCATAAGAGGTGTTTTTATGCTGAATGAGTTGAGAAGCGCCTGGACATCGTCCCACACTGGACGAATGCCACTACATGACCACCAAATGTGGAGTAAGGTCCCTTCCGCTGCCACACAGCATCAGCATTGGGGGAGACAGTCGGAAACATTTTATGCAGCCGCACAGGGGTTAGATACCACCTGTAAAGCAATTTCCTATGGGCTTCTATGTGGGAGTAGCAGTTTGTTCATTGCTTTAAGCCGTTCAGGGCCTGTAACCAGTCCTCATTCGTCAATGTTGTCTATATGTCTCAGTCCCATTGGTTCTTGCATTCTGGGTTAGTCTGGGGTGTCAGTTCTAGCCAAGTTTTGTAACATAGCGACAGGGCTTTGGGTTTCTTAGGTGCTGTCCAACATCTGTCCAGTGTCAACTGAGGCGTTAACGGGGTTGTATCATCTACAGATGGTTTGTGCAGGACATGGGCCGTCAGGAGACTTTTAAGTTGGAGGTAAGTAAATTGGTGGCGTGCAGGGATGTTCCATATAATCTGCAAATCGTGGAATGGTCTGAAGGTATGTCTATCATATATTTGGGCAATAGGGGTGATGACCAAACAGCTCCATGTATGCATGGGAAGATCTGGAGATAGAGCTTTGAGCACTGTCAGTGGGGCTTTGGGGTGGAGATGTGATTTCCAACCTAGTGAACCCATAAATTCATCCCATACCTTTAGTACTGCTGTGGTAGTCGGGAGAAGTTTAGGTTTTAGGGTATGTAATGTGTCCATAAATAGTCAGTCAGGGATTGTGTGAGCAGCTCACTGCGTTCCATGTCTACTCATTGGGTATCACCTTGAGGGGCATGGAGCATTATTCCTGCTGCAAGAATATTAGCATTAAAATAAAGCTTGATATTCGGGAGGCCTATTCCTCCTCTCCTGGGAGGATTTTGGAGTAGGCTTAGGGTAATCTGGCTTTTTTCCCATCCCAGATAAAGGAGTTACCAACAGCCTGTAATGATTTGCAATACGATAAAGGCAGAGTTATGGGTAGCATTCTAAAACAGTATAGTATGCGGGGGAGAATCATCATTTTGAATGCATTATCTTTGCCTAGCCAGGAAAGTTTGAGTCCTGACCACTTTTGAGTTTCCATTCTGCAATTCTGTAGGAGGGGAGTGAAATTATGTCTCATAATGCCCGCCAGGGTTGTGGGAATCCTAACCCCCAAATAAGTGACATACAAAGATCTCCAATCCATTGGATAGAGAGTGCACAGGTTTTGGGTGGTTGTTTTAGGCAATCCTACAGGAAGGGCTTGCGTTTTGTCCTGGTTTAGGCAGTAATGAGACACCTCACCAAAGCTTTGCATAAGGGATAGTAAGTGGTCCATAGATCTTGTCGGATCTGAGAGGGCTATGAATATATCGTCCGAAAAAAGAGCTATTCCTTATCCATAAATTTAACGCCTGTGGTATCGGGCTGATTGCAGATCTTCCAGGCCAATGGTTCCAAAGATAGAATGTATAAAAGTGGTGACAAGGGGCACCCTTGACGGGTGCCATTTGTAATGTAGAAGGGGGAGGAAAGAAATCCTCCATTGGCAACTTTGGCTGCCAGTGCACTATATAAGGCCATGATGCCGTTGATGACCTCTGTGAGAAAGCCAAATTTTAGTAGGACTTTGTTTATATACAGCCAGTTAAGTCTGTCAAAGGCCTTTTCCGCATCTAATGCCAGGAAAAGGCCTCCGACTTGACTGTGTGACTGTGTGACTGTGTGTTTGTGGCCCAGAGCCCCACAGGAGCGGGGGGAGCACAGCTCACACATACATTGTGGCAGGGGCGGAGCTAGCGTGTGGCGGGGCGGAACTTAGTGTGTGAGGGGTGGGGCTTAGCGTGCGGCGGGGCTTAGCGTGCAGCGGGGGCCTGGCTAACTGCAGCATGGGAAGCAGGAAGGAGTCCCTGCTTCCCCAACAATCACCCTCCAGGAGCTCCAAGCAGGAGGTAAGAAGCAGGTCAGTGTGTGTCTGTGTGTGACTGCCTGTGTGTCTGTCTGTGTGAGTGTGTTACTGTCTGTGTGAGTGTGTGACTGTCTGTGTGAGTGTATGACTGTCTGTGTGTGACTGTCTGTGTGAGTGCATGACTGTCTGTGTGAGTATGTCACTGTCTGTGTGTGACTGTCTGTGTGAGTGTGTGACTGTGTGTGACTGCCTGTGTGAGTGTGTGACTGTCTGTGTGAGTATGTGACTGTCTGTGTGTGACTGTCTGTGTGTGACTGTCTGTGTGAGTGTGTGACTATCTGTGTGTGACTGTCTGTGTGTGACTGTCTGTGTGAGTGTGTGACTGTCTGTGTGAGTGTGTGACTATCTGTGTGTGACTCTCTGTGTGAGTGTGTGACTGTGTGTGACTGTCTGTGTGAGTGTGTGACTGTGTGAGTGTGTGACTGTGTGTGTGTGACTGTCTTTGTGAGTGTGTGACTGTGTGTGTGACTGTCTGTCTGACTGTCTGTGTGAGTGTGTGACTGTCTGTGTGTGACTGTGTGTGTGTGTGACTGTGTGTGTGTGTGTGTGTGTGTGTGGCTGTCTGCCTGGGGTGTCAGCTGTCTGCCTGTGTGTGTGTGTGTGTGTGGCTGTCTGCCTGGGTGTCAGTGACTATCTGCCTCTGTGTGTGTGTGTGTCTGCTAGTGAGGGAGCCTCTGTGTGTGTCTAGTAGTACTTACTGCTAGTGAGTTTGTGTGTGTGTGCCTGCTAGTGAGTGAGCTTGTATGTGTGTCAGTGAGCTTGACTGAAACATTGATCTTCTCTTAAATATTTCAATAAAAGTTAAATTTTCAGGAAATCCGAGAGTGCAGCCAACTATTTCAATTGCATATATATATATACATATATATATATATATATATATATATATATATATATATAACAACCTACATAGCACAATGACTTATGGGGCTGGCATAGATTTTTTTCCAGGGCTGCTTCGTATCCCCAGTCCGGCCCTGGGTGGAACTGTCTGTCAGGGTCTTTGAGGAGCCCATTAGACGAAGGCAGGAGGTGTGGAAAGTCCAACGTCATTTCCAAGAGAGAAAGAAACAATGGTTGGGATGGCCACAGAGGCGTCACAATTACATGGGTCCCACATTGGCATCGCAGGTGATGAAGGAAACGTGGTATGTGCATAAAAGGAGGGAAAGTTCAAATTTTTACTTACCCTAAATTTATTTTTCCTTAGGAATACAGACAGTGCACTACAGCTGGGATATTCTCTAATCTGGAGGGAAGGCAGACAAACAATTATAATATAAAAACAAAAACTTAACAAGAACTTTTTCTCAGTTTCATTCTGAGGATTTTGACAGAATGTCAGGAGGACAATTTCCTGATTAATGTTTGAAGTAGATGCAACTTTGGGAAGAAAGGATATATGCAATTTAAGGACCACTTTATCCAAATGGAAAACCAGATAAGGAAGAGATGAGTTCACCCAAGCGTTTGGAAGAAGTCACAGAATCAAGAATATTGTCTTAAAATTGAGAATTGTAAGACAAGCTGTATCTAAAGGTTCAAAAGGAAGCAATACAGTTGCAAGAAAAAGTATGTGAACCCTTTGGAATGATATGGATTTATGCACAAATTGGTCATAAAATGTGATCTGATCATCATCATCTAAGTCACAACAATAGACAATCATGGTCTGCTTAAACTAATAACACACAAAGAATGAAATGTTTTTATTGAACACACCATGTAAACATTCACAATGCAGGTTGTTTTTTTGCAGCCCACATTAACTTAAACCTTGTTTATTTGGCCTGTCTTAGCCTTTGAGTTTGACATGCTTGGTGTAAACAATAGACGTAGAATTATTTTTTGCCTTTTCGACCGACTGCATTGTGGAATACCGAACGATATTTGGAGGGATGGAGATTAATTCCAGTTGGTAGCCTCTTCGAATAACAGACAATACCCAGTTGTATGTAGAGGTTTCCTGACAAGTTGAATAAAAACCTAGCAGTCTTCCTCCCACCGGTATGTTGTCACAATTTTAATTCCATTTCTATTCCCTGGGGTGTTGAAATTGAAGGTATATCTCTGTCTTCTCCTATTAGAATTCTGTCGAAAGGAAAATTACACAGGGGATTTTTAGATGTTGAATCTGGCAAGCAGCTCTTAAAGGACCACTCTAGGCACCCAGACCACTTCAGCTTAATGAAGTGGTCTGGGTGCCAGGTCCTTCTAGGGTTAACCCATTTTTTCATAATTATAGCAGTTTCAGAGAAACTGCTATGTTTATGAATGGGTTAAGCCTTCCCCCTAATCCTCTAGTGGCTGTCTCATTGACAGCCACTAGAAGCGCTTTCGCGATGCTTCACTGTAGCGAAAATCGGCGAGGAAACTGCGCAGCGCCCATAGGAAGCATTTTAGCCAAATGCTTCCCTATGGGTTTCAACTGAATATCTTTGTGCCTTCTTGCCCAGCGGCGTCGCGCATTTCAACCCGGCCAGTAGCAGTGAGAGGGAGGAAGGCTCCCCGCCCAGCTGGAAAAGGTAAGATTTTACGCACCCTTCAAACGGGCGGGAGGGGGTCCCTGAGGGTGGGGGCACCCTCAGGGCACTATAGTGCCAGGAAAACGAGTATGTTTTCCTGGCACTATAGTGGTCCTTTAAGCCAAACTGCTTGTCTAGCTACATTTGCTAGACCAATGAATTTTGCTGCCACTTTTAGCACCTCAAATGAAGAATAAGTGAGGAAATCTGAAGCCAGTTTAGTATTCCTCAGAGGCTTTATAAGATCGTCAGTAGATTCACCCATGTAGACTTTTTCAAGTGTCTCTAGCCAAAAGTTACTGGGGGGAAATGGGTCTCTGTATATTCTAAAGTGGTTCCAGAGCGGCTGAAGGAAGGTGTTAGTGGGTTTTGCCCCACTGACACCCTGATGGATGAAAAAGGCAGACATGTTTGCGTAAAAGGTACAATCATAGTGAAAAATATGCATTTGCAAACATCTACCTACCGATCATGAACCAGGGCAAATTTCTGAAATCAGCCCTCCTAGGGATTTTGGGAGGGATGTCTATCTGAATTATATTGACCTCCAGCAGCTATCTGTCACGGCTTTCAACATCTCTGCTGGCGTGCAAACATAGCAGCCACACCGTCAGAGATATTTTCAACTTACCTAGTGCTCGGCAGGCAGCTGCCTGTTTTTCCTCTGTTCCGGTCCCCAGCGGATGCGTCGTTCTTATGAATGTCGGCCGCTGTGGACTGGACTTTTATAAAGAACTTACCTTTGCCCACATCAAAGATGGCGACGATGTGCGTGCGGCGTAACATCATAGACGCGCACGCACGTTTTGCAGTCAGAGGTAAGAGACAGCCAATCACAGCCTAAGGAGGGTTATTTAAACCCAAATTACCTTTTTGTCAGTGCCCTGTCGTGGTTTCCACTAACTGGTTATCTGAGAGTTTGTTCCTGATTGAGTTTTCTGCTATTTGACTTTGGCTTCGTTTTGACTTCCCTGATTTCTGGTATCCTTGTCTTCTGGCTTTCCTCATCGTTGTGTCTCATTTTGTGTCCCTGACCTCGACAAGTATTTTGACTATTCTGCGGTACATTAAGTCCGGCCATTTTAAGGTCCGGTTAGACGTTATCCTTAGTCCTAGGTGTGATACACTTCTGCATGCTGGATCAATTCTAATCCTGACACTATCAGCTAATAGTGATTCCCAACTTCTATCCATCCCTACTTTCTCCTGTCCCTTACTGGCTATCTCCTCATTTAATACTA